CAGATGCTGAAGTCCCCGATGTAAAATGGTACAGTATTTGCATATAACCTGCATGTCTTCCTGTATATATACTTTAAATCATCTCTAGATTACTTACACCTAGTGCAATGTAAATACTGTATTGTTTAGGGAATACTGACAAATCTGTATGTGTGTAATACGGATGCATTTAAAAAAATATTTTTGATATGCCTTTTGTTGAATCCATAGATGTGGAACCCACAGGTAGGGAGGGTTGACTGTAATACAATTTATTTATTCCCTCCCTTCCTTCGTTCCCTTTTTCTCTCTCCCTCTTTCCTCACTTTCTCTCTCTCTCTCCTTTTTCCTTTCTTTTCTCTTTTCTTTCTCTTTCTCTTTCTTTCTCTTTATCTCTTTCTTTTTGAAATGGAGTCTTGCTCTGTTGCCCAGGCTGGAGTACAGTGGTGCAGTCTCACTCAGCTCACTGCAACCTCCACTTCCTGGGTTCAGGCCATTCTCCTGCGTCAGCCTCCCAAGTAGTTGGAACTATGAGCATGTACCACTACTCCCAGCTAATTTTTATTTTTAGTAAAGACAAGGTTTCACCATGTTGACCAGGCTGGTCCCAAACTCCTGACTTCAAGTGATCCACCCGCTTCAGCCTCCCAAAGTGCTGGGATTACAGGCGTGAGCAACCATACCAGGCCACAGTTTTAAATTATACTCAGTAATATGAAAACTAAGCAACGGGATATGGTAAGGAACTAGGATGAGGGGTTAGTGATTAAATTGCTGGCCCACATGGAATTGAGGTCTCTCTCTCAGAAAGTAACATTTAAGCTGAAGACTGAATAACAAGTAGCCAACCATGCAGAGAAACTGGTTTAAGGCCACAGAGCAGGAATATCATAAGCAGAGCAAACAGCAGGGCCTTGGTGTGGACCCGAACTTAGGATTTTTAAGGGGTACAGGGCTTTCCAGGGGGTAGGAAGTGTTGAGTGACAAAGCACAAATAATAGCAGGAAGCTATTGCAATAGTTCAGGTGAGAAGTATGTTGGCTTGGACTGGTATGGTAATAACGGAGACAAAGTAGACAGATTTTGTGTAAATTTTAAGGTTTAGGTTCAACAAGACTTGACTGTGGGGAATGAGAAAGAGAGGAATCAAATTTTGTCTGGCACATTAATGTGGAACTGTTTTCTAAGATGGGGAACGTGACGGGGCGAAAGGGGAAAAATTAACGTGAAAAAAATAGTCAAGAACATACAGTAGACTCCTTGCCCTTCAGCTCAGAATCCCATCATTGATTTAAACAATGGATTCTTTGTTTACCTGTCACGTTCATAAAAAGTAAACTTTGGCAAGGGTGCAAAGATATAGTTTTCATATAGTTGGGAATTTAAACTGGTGTGGCTCTTGGGTCAATTGTGACCGATATCTATCAATTTTAAATATACTAGATTGTGAAGTGTATGCATTTATCAAGTATGCTTGCCCAAGTAAGTAAATCAGTGTTGAGTTGTGTTCACTGCTATATTTGTAGAAATAATAAAAACAACTAGAATCAGCCTGAATACCTATCAGTAGAGAAATGAGTCGAGATCACACAATTGCATTCCAGCCTGTGCAACAGAGCCAGACCCTGTCTCAAAACAAACAAAAATTGACCATTATCCTTATAGTAGAATCTTAGAAGTACTGAACTACTTCTGAATGTTTGTACTTAGGTATAAACATACTATTAAAACATATGACCAAATAGCATCCCAGAAAAGTTTTTTACTGAATTATTTTCTTACAAGAAGACAGCTCATCTTTCTTTAAATGTACTACTTTAAATATATATTGTGAATTCCTTTGTCAGCCATACCCAGATTTTAATTCCTTAAAATTATCTGAAATTTTTTGAGTAGTTTATATTTGCTATAAAAAAATTTTTTATGCCGGGCGCGGTGGCTCACGCCTGTAATCCCAGCACTTTGGGAGGCCAAGGCGGGTGGATCACGAGGTCAAGAGATCGAGACCATCCTGGTCAACACGGTGAAACCCCGTCTCA